CTCCACGTGGTGCCTCGAACTCAGGTAGCTGAATTCCTGAATCCATCCACAACTTATCAGGACGTTGCACCAAAATTTCAGATCCTTTATAAAGAGCCCCCAAGTTGCAACCTGGGGCAAAGTTTGATGTTTTCAGAGTGCCAGAAATCTCCCTGAGGGGCTGCTGGACCAGCACCCCCAGGCTGGGAAGGAACCAGGCCACAAAGACTGGGAGTGAGTTTTGCTGATGAAACCTTTCCACTCCTGACTGAGAAGATCAAAAAAAAAAAAGAGCTTCTAAGTGCTCCCTCATTAACAATCCAACCCCATTTGAGACAGTCAGGCACACAGGAGTGCTGTATTTTTCCTAAATTCTCAGTGCTGGAGGAGCTGCAGCAGCCCTTTGTGTTGAGGAATTTCACATCCATGTTCAGCAGAGGCTCCGTGCAGACATCAAAGGGAAACACTCAAACCTCCTCACCAGCCTTAGGCAGCTCCAGAGGAGACATCACTGCAGAATGTTTAGCAGTTGGATCACAGAAATGCAAGGGGGGGGAAAAAAAAAAAGAAACTGCAGGACGCCCACAAGACATTCTCCACATATTTCCATAATCAGGGAGGTTTCTGCTGAATTACAGTTCACATGGCAGAAAAAAATCAGCAACCAAGACACCCATGTGGCAATTCTGGCCTGCATCTTTGTGCTCTCTCTGTTCCCAACCCTTTTTTCCTGGGCACCAAGCACATATGGAACAAAACCAGAGAAAAGGGCTGACCAAGTGTGAATAACAAAGAATAAGTAGGAATCAGCACCTCATCTGCTGTTCTGGGGAGGAGAAAGGTGCTCTTCACCCTTGCTGAATGTCTGGTTTTGTTAACTGTTCCTCCAGGCCCCTGCTAGAAAACCATGCAGAAGGCACATTTCTCCAGAAAAGCCCCTTTGTCTGCTTTCTGGAGAGGTTTTGCCACCACTCATTGTGGGATTTTATATTTTTCTTAAACACTCTCCAAGCCATGGGATGTTGTGCCTGGGAAGGAGAGATGTAACAAGAAGTGCCTTTCACTTAAGTTTTGGCAATTTGGAAGACACTGAAACGTGCTTTTTAAGTACAGCTTTTCTGGCACAGTGGGTTTGTTTTTACAGCAAATCCACAGAGGAGGATTGGGACACACTGTACCAGTTTGGAAGAGCAGACAGGACCTGCTCCAGAGCTTTATCTTCCAAGGAGACCTGACAAAAACAGCAGCACTCCACTGTACAGGTGGGCAGAGGAGGAACAAAGACACCCAGTGACTTACTCGAGGTCACACAGGAAATCTGTTTGAGTTCCCACTCAGGCACTGGAAAAATCAGTGAAACAAGAGCAGGTACTAAATTTGGCACGGCCTTTTAAATGATGCATTGCTCCAAGGGAACAAGAACCTCCAGTCATGCTAACCCAGCCACCGAAGGAAAAGCAGTTACTCAACCCCACCCAATCTATCTGATCACCTTCCTACTTCCTGAGTCAATCAGGCCTTTCTTGGCCAGACGGTCCAACCCACAATTTAGATCTTGTTACAAAGCAGACCCACTAAACCACTTTCTCCCTAGGGCTGCAGGAGATAAAAGGCCGGAGCAAGAAGCATTTTGGTAACCCTGGCTTCGTGTAACAGCTTTGGATTTTCTTAAAAGCCTCAGCATTGATTATTTTCTTTAAATAGCAATGGCTTATTGAGGAACCTTCTACCCCTTTTAAGGCACAAGGTTTTCCTTAGGTAGGAAAAGAAAATAAAAACTGCCCTGCCAAGGCTTATTTGTCAAAGAGTTTCAGGTACCCAGGGCTGGCAAAGCACTCTGAAGTCACAGTAAGTTAATGCTGGTGCTGCAGGGCTAAGAGGGGAAACTCGGGAGATGGAGAGGAAATAAAAGCATGGATTGACAGGGAACAATCCTGGGATTCAGCTCCAGCTCGTGTTTCAGCCAAGGGAACGAGCCAGGGCTGCAGGCTGGGGGTACCCAGAGGGGCTGAGGACAGGAGGAGCAGCCCAGCTCTCCCGTGGGCTCTGCACCCCTCGGGGCTCAGGGAACGAGGAATTAATTCCATGGAGCCAACCCCCCCCTCCCATCACCCTGCTGTTACATAAAAGCCTGTTTTCTGGGGAATGTTTCCAAGGATGGTGCCATTTGGGCTGTTTTGATTCAAGTGACAGTCAGGTTTGGGAGGAGATAACACCACAGGCTGAGGAACGCTCCAGTCTGCAGAGTCTCCCACTCCCTTTCCCGTCCCCACGGCGCTTGTGCCTTCCTTCCGCTTGCCACATTTTCTTGTGGAAAACAAGCACGACAACTGCACTGCCTGGTTCTTGATGCTGGGATGAAAGAACTGCACAAGGCCTCGGGGAGATGTTTCCAACTCAAACAGATTAAAAAACACTATTTAAGTTTGCCTGGGAAAGTTTCTACGCATTTTGGAGCCCCCCCCCCACCGAGGCAGGGACTGTTCTGGTAAACAGCCCCTTGTACAAGTCATGGTTCATGCACAGCTACTTTTATAAGGTTTTCAGTTATACAAAGATGTGCCTTATTAACGTTTACAGCCCTGAAAAATAAATCCTAAGCCCCCAAACCCTTTGCTAGTGCTCCACCAGCACTGTGGCCCCACCTATTAATTTACACCTCAGTCTAAGTGAACTTTTAGAAGGAGCAGACCCCACAGCTCACTGGAATTAACACTTCCACAATTCACACACAGCCTTATACTGTGCTCTCCTCCTTTCCCTCGTGTCTGTATTTTAGCAGTCAGCATTCCTGGGCAGTTTCTGCAGGACAGAAGCTAAAATTCCAAGCAGTTGGCAGCACTGGCATTGCCCTGCTGGAAGCTCCTCAGCCTGCAAAGCTGGCTGCACTGGAGCATGGGCATGGAACAAGGAGGGGAAGGAAGGAAGCACCGAAGGTGAAAGCACTGGGAATGCACAGCCCTTGTGTTTTCCCTGGCTGGGGACCAGCTACCTCGAGAGAAAAAAAAATCAGAGCACAAACTCTCATCTGCTGCAAAAGCAGCAAGGAAAACAAGCTCCTTCTTCATCCAGCGAAGCACCTTCGGTGTCCCAGCACAAAATCCGGGGGATAAACTCTCCCAGTGAGCAGGCAGGGGAGTCACTGCCCTGCTCTCCTGCCCCATCTCACAGTGCACAGGAGTCTGAAGTCACAGAGCTGCCCCAAAAAGGCTGAAGGTGTTTCCCCCCCAGGGCACAGACTGTGGTTACATTTCCATTTCACAACTCCTTTCTGCTGAGGAAATGCACAACCTCCTCCTCTTGGAAGGCTCTGCAGTCCCTCAAGGACAGCTCTGGGAACCACTGCAGTTGGGCCAGGACAGGAGGAGCCCCCGAGTAACATCCTAATGGGAATCCTGTCTGCCCAGAACCTGCACAACCCCAGACTGCAATTAGCATTATTCATCCCAGAACATTTCAATTCCAGTTTCTGGCAGGGAGAACGCGCCACAGAGGTAACACATCAACCTGGCCCACGCAACAGCCCGGAGAAAAAAGGAGGGAGACAGACTCCGATGGGGGGTGACGGCTCTGAGCTCCCACCACGGAAATCCAGCAGGATCTCCAGGGCTGCTGGTGCCAACCCTGCAAGGACAGATGCCCTTGGTGCAAGGTGACACCCTGCAATCTTCTCTGTGCCAGCAGGAAGAGGGGAAGCACTGCACGCTCCCCCCATGGACACGGCACCTCCGTCCCTGCTGATCCCGGCTTTTCTCCGTTCAAGTCGCACACAAAGAGCTCACAGCACCGATTTCCAGTCCCCTCAGCTCATAAATCTTCTGCTGTGTCTGCTCTTTTCCTGAGCACAGATTTTGTGAGCTGAACAAACTTCACGGAACGGTTGTTCCAAGGCAGCCGAGCCGTGAGCGCAGCCAGGCACTGCAGGCTCCGACACACGCTCCCAGCAAGCTCAGTTTTCACACTTCAGAACCAGATCCTCTCACTGCCCTGCTCCCTCTGCATCAAAGGCCCCTGATTTACTGGCTCTGAAAGCTTTTAATTTACCTTATCCTCGAGACCCTTCGCCCTCTGACCAACAGATGAGAACACAGGACAGAACCTTTCCACCCTCCCCAGCTCAGAGCACATCCCACCGCCCATCCCTTGATTTTTCACTCCCAAAGTGTCCTGGTGATAGAATGGCAAAAATATGAGGGTTTGAGCACCAACTCAGGAGTCTTTGGAAACCATCCCACACTCTGACAGAGGCATCAGAGAACCTTCCCTCAAGCAGGGGCTTTAGTCTTGCCTCTTGGTACAGCTCTGAGTTTACAGAGACAACTTCTCCAGGTGCTTCTCCTCCCAACCACGACCGTGCAACAACCCCCTGGCTCTGCTGGGGGGTGTGTCCATGGACAACAAGTATTGGGAAGGTGATTCCCACAGTCCTGACCATCCGTGAGGTTTCACAGCTGGAAATGAGAGGGAGGAGGCTCATGGGAAGGGTCAGAGCACCTGTAAGCACTCCAGAGGGCTGGCTTTGGAATCCTGTCCCCACTGCTGTTTTCAAGGCCATAGCATCATAGAATATGCTGAGTTGGAAGGGACCCATCAGAATCATCAAATCCAACTCCTGGCCCTGCACAGGACACCCCAAGATTCCCATTCCGTGCCTGAGGGTGTTGTCCAAACACTTCCTGAACTCAGACAGGTTTGGTGCTGTGACCACTGCACAGGGCAGTCCCTGTGGGAGCCTGTTCCAGTGCCCACCCACTCCCTGGGTGAAAAACCTTTTCCTGACACCCAACAACCTCCCTGACTGAGCTGCAGTCGCTCCCTCGGCTCCCGTCACAGTCACGGGGTGAGGAGCTCGGCACCTGCCCCTCCTGAGGATGTCAAAGACCACAATCCCTTAAAACCAGAACAGCAGCTCACAGACAGATCCTCTGGGCCCAGGGCCCATTTTCCAAGTGAAAAGGGAGGCACTGGGTAAGGCCAGGCCCTTCCACGGCAGCTGAGCCGAGGTGAGGTAGGGAACATACCTTGGAGATGAGCTCATCGTGGTTGGCCAGGTGGGCCCTGCAGTGGATGCAGCTGTAGGTCCTGTGGCACGAAGGCAGATACGCCTGGAAAGTCTTGGACCTCGTCATCTTCACCATTGGAGCCACGGAGCGCTGGGTGAACTCTGGGGTGGCCCAGGAGGCGCTCCCGCAGGACGGGTCGCACGGGAAACACCGGAACACGCAGGTAAAGGCCGTGGTTTGGCAGGGGAGGGGTGTGTGGGGCAGGCTCCACACGCTGGTGACGCTGCACAGGAACACACTCGGGCAGCAGCAGAGGGGACTTCACACCAACCTGCGCTGGGAAAACAAGAGACACCACGCTCAGCTCACAGAGGTGACAACGGCCCACAGGGTGATGGAGGGTTTGATCAGGGCAGCCAGGAGTGATGGCTGTGGATTAGATCAGGAGCACAGATATTTATTCACAGCTCAGCACTGACTTGCTGACTGCCCTCACCTCTCCCCGCTGCCATTATCTGCCATCTCCCTATCGCTCCAGCACTGCAATCTCCAGTCGCTCTTCCGGCCCTTAATGGGTTTGGGAATGACTACCGAGGTGCTGAGATGGCTTTCAGCAAGCCTGGTCTCCCAGAGAGCTCTGGGGAAATGCACATGTCAAGGCCCAGCTCTCCACAAAGCCAGAGGGACCAGAGTCAGCCCTGCCAGCTCCTGTCCTGGGTCACTCACAAATGGGACACCCCAGAAGCCCATGGGAAAAGAGGGAGCTGGACCTGGCTTTTCTCAGCCACCAGGTGAGCACACGAGTCACCAAACCAGTTTTTCTCTCCATTCTGCCCTGGTTTTCACACGGGAAATGGAGGATTCCTGCCTTCCACTCCCCTCCAGAACTCCCTGAGAGCTCTGAAGGTTGAAGCCACTCTCTAAACTGCACTCTAGTACTTTATTTTTTTTTTTAATCTGAACATCTGACAGCAGCCAAAGCAAGGCACGGCCTCTGAAGACTGTTCCTGATAGCAAGAGACAGTTAAAAAACCCTGTTCAGGATGGAAACACCATTTTACAGAGCAACATCATCTGACAGCACCTGCCAGGCAGCTCAAGGCTGGGTCTCTTTGTGTTGGTAGAAATCTCTTTTTCAGATCCCACAACCTGTAAGCTGCAAATGTTTCTTTTGATGGTGGAAGAAGCCTGAAGGAAGCAGATCCCTGATCCATGGCGTGCATGCACCTTCTGCAGATTAATCATGAACTCTGCCTGCTCCTCCCAAGAGGATTTTCCTTCCCATAAAACGTGTGATCCTCTTCAGTCTCCTGAGCCTGCACTTTGTACATCAAACACTGGGACAACAGCAGCTACTCCCCTACCACCACCTCCCATCCCCAAAATGAGAAAACCAAGAAACAACATGACATGGTTGGAAAAGCAGATTCAAGGTATTTAAGTTGCTGCTGGAAGGGTGACCCACTGAACCTCCTGCTCAACGCAGAGGTGACACCAATATGACAACAGGACACCCATTTTTGCCTCTTTTTCCTAAATATTTTTCCTCTGCTCTCCAGGAGGCAGCTCCCTCAAAAGGGAGGGAAAAAAAAAGAGTCTTACTCATCCATGAAACTGCTGATAGATCATATCTATCCTGATCATAACAGTCAGCGCTTCCACAGCAGTTTTCATTCTTAAAGCTCTTTGCAAACACCAACTAATCAGATTAACCTCTTCCAATTAAAGTTACAGCCCCAGCTCTGCAGGGCCCATCCTGACACAGAAGGGTTCACTTCCCAGCCTGGTAGAGGATAAATCCCCTCAAAAAGGGGGTCTTGCCAGGGATTGATGTGCCCAGTTGCCAAGCAGGCTCCCTGGGCACTGTCTGCTCCACAGCTCTGGGGTTCAGCAGGATTTGCCTTTGACTTTAATCAGAGAAGGCAGAAATCAGACAGTCCTCACCTGTATCCTGCCCCAGCTCCCCACGTGCACCAGAATTCTGTCAAACCATTGACAAACAACTGAGTCAGCTTTGCATCACAGCTCTGACTTCCCTCCAAGGCGAGGAGCACTTTGAGGACTGCACCCTGAACGTGCACCAGGGCAGAAAGCAGATGGAAACCGAGGCAGAGCCCCTCCTGATGCTCTGCTGATCAGGTGGGAGGAAAAGCAACACCTCCCAGCCTTCCTGAGCTAAGCAAGGCCAGCCTTTCCAGTCAGCAGACAGCAGAGCCATCCCCCAATTCCAAGCCCCTGATTCAGCAGCTGATTTGTGACGTGCCAGCCCCGATGGAGCTCAGAACCTGCAATCTGGGAGCCTCCAAGGGCAGGGAAGCAGGAGACAGAGTGTGCTCCTTCTGGGGCCAAGTGCAATCGGATCCCAAGGCACCAAGCCCTGTCTGGGAGATTCCAGGGACAGACCATCTGGAGGGAAGCACGAGCAAGGGCTGGCAACCACTTCACCTGCTTCCTGAGTGAGAAACCAGGCTGAGTCTGAACCCCAGACGTGACTGATCTGTAATGAAATGGTGCAATCCCTCCTTTACTTCACCAGGGATCACTAAATACACCAAGTTTTCCCTCTTCCCTCCTGTAATGCCATGCCAAACTTTCCTTTCCTGATCAGCTGGAAAACCCACAGCCCCCCCCCCCCCAAAAGCTTGCTGGAGACAAAAATGAATCCCAAGCAGAACAACACAACAGCAACCCCTTAGTTTGGAGTTTGCTGACCCCTCTGTCCAGGCCTGCCAAGCATCACTGCCCCAGAACAATGAGCAAAGCAGGAAATCCTACAGCTGCCTTTAGCTGACAGGGAGATGAACACACAGAGAATTATCTGCACAAGCATTTCATGAGCACTCGTTTGTCTGACCTCATAACACACTTAACGTCAGCAAAAACATCTGACCTTTCAGAGAAAAGGGAACCAGATGATATCAGAGCACAGACTGAGATGAACTGCAGCTCCTGCTCTCTGGGCCGTGCTGAGGAGACAAACTCCACCTCTCTGCTTGGGGGGGATGAAAATTTGGGAGCCAGGATCTTGGTGGGAAATGTAGTTAAGGAAGTGCCTTGACTGAAAACTGGAGGTGACCATCATTTATAAAGCACTGCCTGACAGTTTGATCACCTGGGCTTGATCTGCCAAGCTCTCTGTCCTCATCACAGTACGGGAGAGGAGGGAAAACCAGCAGGGAACGCGTTCTCACATCCTACAGGCACAGCCAGCAGCTTGTAAGGACTCATTTCTGTCTTAAATATCACCCTGAGAGGTGTTCAGGGGTATCTGTGGCTCCCAGCAAGGCCCAAAACCAACCTCCTGGATTTTTTCAGCACTGGTGACCAACACACTTGAATTAAAACACAATTAAGATCTAATGGTGCAGTTGCTCTGCTGCAGAGGATGAATTTAGGATGTGCCTCTGCTTTTTGGAAGGAAGAGAAATCTCTCTCTGGGCTGGCCACACTCAAGTCAATAGAACAGAAAGTTGGGCCTATTAATTAGTTCACAACAGGTCAGGCCACTGGTTCAGACAAGAGGAAGGAATTCTAAAGGAAAAGCTTTCAGTTTGTTGTGGCTGTCAGGGAGGGAATCAGCTGAGTGTTCTGCCTGCCTGCACTGGGGATGTTGGGGCTGCTCTGCCTAATCCTGCTGAGTTTTCAGCAGATTCAGCTCCAGGAAGGGAAAAAAATCATGACACACATTTCACCATCCAGGCAATTTTTTGGTCCAGAATTCTCCCTCCACCTGTGGGTGTCCAACACGAAGCTGTCAGCAATTCAGGAAGCACAAAAAAAAAGGAGAAAGTCTGTGCCAAACACTTGCCAGACAAGGCCACTGCATGTCCATATGTCACATGGCAGAGACCAAAACCAACCCCCCACAAAGCCTAATTTTGAACAGAACTCGTTTACAATGAGGGTCAGGTGCAAATGCTCCTGTTCATCGTGGCAGGAGAAACCACAGGTTTGTTGGGCCTGAAGGTTTGTTTTATGGGTTATTTGATTTTCAAGATAAACCTCAGCCTGGGAAATACGTATTGGATTATACCAAATGCTACAGAAAGAGGCCTGTAACAGCTCTGGAATAATGCAGGTGTTGGGAAATTCAACCTTTCTTCTTTGTCTTATGCCCAGTGCAAGGAATGCAAGGAAAGCACAGGAGGAATTGGGTTTGGAGAGTTCTCTGTGTGTAGGTCCCAAACTGTGGCTGCCTGTGCTGCTCCAGGGTCTGAGCATGATCCCAAGGAAATGCCTGAGGTCAGTACACTCCTTACCAGGGTTTCCTTGACAAAACCTGCCTTACCATTACTCAGTGGGCTGCAGTTTGAAGGGGGCAGGTTGGTCTCTAACTGAGGTCTGGCTTTGATGCCCAGTTTTGCTTCCCCGTGGATTTATCAGAATGTTGGGTGTGGGACCCTCAGAGGCAGCAGGCACAGCTCAGGAGCATTTTAGCCCCTCAGGAGCATTTCAGCCCCTCAGGATGGGGCCCAGCAAGGAGAGCTCCTGGGGTGGGGCAGTTTGGGGCAGCTCTGGAGCTCCCCAGCACCACAGGATGGTGGGAGCTCCAGGAAAGGGGATCCAGCTCGTCCGAAGGTGGGAGGGTGGGACGTGCATTGGGAAAGGCCTGGAAGGAAGGGTGAGCACTCTGAATTTAACACAAGGGAAAGCCAGAAAGGAGTTTAAGCAGCAGATGGGTGAACAAAATGTGCTTTACTCCTTCAGCATCGAGGTGTTGAAATGCACCAATTCCAACCCCTCCCCCTGAGGTGACACTGGAGACAGCTCAGCTGCACCAGCACAGCCAACAACAGGGATCTGAACCAGGAGTGTCCTTCTCTACCACCTTGGGCTCCTCCAGCTCATCCTCCAAACGCTGGGAACAGGAAGGTAATAAGAGAACTGGCAGAAGATGGGCAGGAATCCTGTGTATTTATTTTTATCAGATGCAGGGACACAATTACCCCACAATTACTTATATTTATATTTAACCCCCTTTGTCCCTCTGGGTACCTCCTTCACTTCATCTCTGCAGGCTGGAGACAACAGGGAAAAGAGGGATGGCTGGAGGGGTGGAAAAAGGTGATACCAACGGCAAACAACAGCCCAAACATCTGCCAGGAAACCACTAGAGGGCCTCAGGAAGAGCTGCAGCAGGAGGCGATCCCGGCCTGCGAGATCCACAGGGAATCCAGGACTGGATTGGTGCCAACCCCCTGCACCTGCCGTGCCCCACTTACCACGGGCAGCCTGGCAGGAAAAACCCCCCAGTGTGACCCTGCTGAGCAGCCAGAGACACCAAACCCAGCCAAACTGGCCCGGGGATTCTACTCAGCACATCTCAAAGCC